ATTTTACTCCCACTTTGTTCCCAAGACGGCAGCGCACGCCCTCGCAAGAACCCTCATAGGGGTAAATAATCGGCATATTGAATGGTACAACATCAAGCGCATCTTCCCCTTATACACCTGGGAGGTTGAAAGGCAGTTGACCCCTGCTGACAACAAAGGATTATGAAAATCCTTTGAACAAATCACAAAGCACAAAGGGTGCTCAACAGTAATCTCAGTCTCATTTCAACCAAAAGACTTTGAGATTTATTTCAAAACTCTCCGTGTGTGCACGTCGACGTGCTACACAGATATTTACATGGTGCATCCGCTAATCAACCCACGCATGACACGTAGCACGTGGTCCCGTGTCTCGCAGTTAGACCTCTGCCCGATTGTTACGCTGGCCTAGTACTACCATGGACTGGCGCAACCTCCCTCGTGCCTCGTCCGGGTACTGGACATCCATTCGTGACGGTGCCGCTACTCTAGCTTAATTCCTCACATGTATATAAGTTGTGGGCGCCGGTGGCGCCCTTCTGGAACTACTGTAATTCATTGCTAGTTTAGCATTCATGTATTTCAGATGACAAGCATGTTCGCCATACCATAGGTATGGGGTGTGGGGGAGAGATGGTCTCAGGTTCCTCTTCGCGACGTCTCGACGGGTACCAGCTGAGGGACTGGCCCTTTGGTACCAGCAGTCGTCAAGAGAGTGTCGTAACGAGGAACGCGAGGCCATTCTGACACGCTGAGCAAGCGCCTAAGCCTAGGAAAACGCACAAGGACGGGGTTAGTGATACACCCAAAACTCGGGTTCAACGAGCCTGAGCCGATGCGAAACCCCAACCTTGTGCGAATCCGAGGACCTATCGCCTACGTGCTTCCCCCGTTTATTGCGTTCAACAACGCCAAAGTCTCTTCCAGGTCTTGTGCCCCATGTTTGCGAATATACAGGCGGTAACATTGTGAAGTCCAACGACCTAAAGTCATAATGTCGACGTGAGATATACCTAGAGCAGCTCGTAGAGAAGCTCCTCCAACACGAAAGGAATGACCCGAGAT